CCCCCAGCACCACATGCCAGCCAGCCCCGCCCCCTGGTGGACTGAGCTGCCCCCCCCACATAAATAAAATTAAAAAACAAAAAACAAAATAATTATACTATCCTTTATCTGTTTTCTTTCTTTTTTTTCTCTTATTTATTTGGTACAGGCTCTTGCTACACAGTTTGGACTTGCAGTGATCCTCCTGTCTCAGCCTCCCCAGCACTGGGATTATAGGCGTGCACCACCATGTCTGGCTTCCAGGACCAGCATGGTGTACCTGGGGTTCCAGGGCTGCCATGGCATGTGGTACTGGGGATCAAACTCAGGTCTTTATGCTTGCCAGGCAGGCACTCAGAACCACCAAGCTATCTCACTAGCCCTCTATTTCTATTTTATTACCTGTAAAATCTGAATTAAAACATATATATATATACACTCCCTACTATACAGGTTTTTAAATAATTTGTAAAGAGTTAATTTTGGGAAAGTTTAATAAACCTCCAAAAGTAATCAGGATCTATCTCCTTGGTTCATTTGGGGTTTAGTTGGGGCTGGGTATATAGCTCGGTAGCACAAGTGCCTGCCTGGTAAATGCAAAGTCCTAAGTTGGATTCCTGGTACCAAGAAAAAAAAAACAACATCATTTGGGGTTGAGTTAGCACAAATAAGTAATATGGCAGTTTGGGCATGGTGGGGCATGCCTATAATCCCAGCACTTGAGGCTGAGGCAGGAGGATCACTGCAAGTTTGAGGCCAGCCTGGGCTGCAAAGTGACTTCAAGGCCATTGTGAACTGCACAGTGAAACTCTGTCTCAAAAGATTAAAAACAAAAAAGATGGCAGTCTGTATTCAATAGTTTTAAATGATTATCAGTTAAATCTTATATATAGATAAAAGACAGGCATAAAGGTCTGTAACGCACAGAAATGGTTCATGTATTATAATAGCTGCTTACTTAATAGTTGCTGACTAAAGTCAGTATGAAAATACTGAGGTAAATTTGTGATGCACGGTTATCATGTGCCTCCTGAATCCCTTGCTCTTTTCTAGCACCTATCCCATGCACACTCAGAGCTTCTTGGCTGCTCACTCTCTCACCGTAGCACACCAAGAGTTTATGCATACTCGCACGTGGAACTTTTTTTTTAATGTATCAGTTATTTAATTAGGTTCTTAGTAAGAAATCTGGATCACTATGAGGATAAATTTCATTTGTCAGAGCGAATACAGATTGCAGGTAGCACTGAAGCTGAGGAACAGCTTTGATTTTTACTAAAATCTTTTGAGTCCACCGCTTTCTGGTCCACCTCGCACTGCTCTGAAATCTGGTATCCCTCTTCCTCGGTGTCGAAGATCTCGCCCTCCTGGTGTCTGGGTTTCCGCAGCTGCTTCTTGAAGTAAGCATCAGTGAGGTGTTTGGGGATTTTCACGTTGCTGATATCAATTTTTGTAGAGGTGGCAATGACAAATTTCTGTTGTATTCTTCAGAGAGGAACACGATTAAGGCTAAGAGGCCGGTCACAAGTAGCAAGCCACTGGCCAACTGCTTCAGGAAGACCACTCTCTTGCCTCTGTGATGCCCAGTTAGGATCAAGATGGTGCCGTGGGTGATGCTAGCTCGGAGTTTCCTCATATGCTGACTGAAGGGTTTCTTGCTTCAAGAGCTTTCGGGGCACATCTTCAGTAGAGTAGTATCTAGGCATTTTTCAAAGCTTAACCACCTGGGAACCTCCATTCTTGTCCCTACCAATTGGTTTTGTGATCGTAACAAGAACTTGCTCCTTTTTTTTTCCCTCAATCTTTGATTTAGCAGCTGTATACTTTCCCTTGTACAAAGCCTTTCTGGAACATATAGATCGGGAGTATCTACCAATTCCTCTAACCACGAAAGGATTTCAGCTGCGGTGGGGCTGCCCCTTCTTGGACTTTTTTGCCTTTACCTTACCCTTTTTACCAGTACCACTGGCAGCAGCCATCTTGGCTTCAGGTTTCTTCTCTTTACGTCTGCTTCACAGGTTTTTTGCCCGCCATCTTGCCAGATGGGAAAGACACAGAACTCTTGACAGCATAGGTGTGAGGGGTTTTCACACTACTGAGTTCGTCTTACTAACTATACATCGTAAAATCCAGTTGAGTTCATATTAACATCAGGTTGCTGCTAGCGCAGATTCCCTGTTGTCTCATGTAAGATGGAGATCAGACACAGTCTAGTTCTAAAGCAAAAATAAAATGAAAGCTCATATTACAGGAAAGAACTACAGCTGACCACCCAGTGTCAGCACAGACGCTCAGGACAGGACACCAGCTGGACGCCACAGAATAGCCCAGGAAAGGTCAGGAGGGAGACTGTCCGAGGCACAGCAGCAGCCAGCAAAGGAGATCTTTCACTTGTATGGGGGCCTCATCCAATTCACCTAAGCATCCTGCTTCCCTACCTCAGCAAACTCAGGAGCTCGCCCTTTTGATTAACCACTCGCGTAGCCCCCCACCTTTTTTTTTTTTTTTTTTTTGGTGGAACCGGAATTAAACTCAGGCCCTTGCTTGACAGGCAAGCCCTTATTCTACTGAGCCATCTCCAGGGCCCAATGGCTTCCCCCTCTTAACACCTTGTGGTGGTTGATACATTGTGTTAACTTGAGATGTCACAAGCTTGGCTGAATGGGCTTGGGCTGGGCTTGGGCTTGGGAATTCCACGGGTGGGGAAGTCACTCACCCTAGAGTGACTCAGCACAAAAAGGGCTTGTAAAGGACTTGTGGAAGGCTTCTGCATGCCCTACTTCCTTGGAGTTCTGATCACAGCCGTGCCACTTCCTTGGAGGAGCTTGATCCGCATAGCTGCAGCCTCACCACTTAGGAGGAGCTCAGATCTTTGTAGCAGCCATCACCATTTTCCCCGAGGAGCTCTAGTCTTTGCAGTCCATGTGCAAGGAAGGGAGAGAGGCTTGACACACACAACTGCTGCTCCATCCTCTGCTCTTCACAGTTTTCTGCTGCCATGAACTGCTGCCTTCTGCCTTGTGCCACTGCTTGGGAGCTAGCTGAAGTGAAACCTCCACAAACTGTGAGCTAAATAAACCTTTCCCTTGCTAGGGTATTTTGTTCCAGCAACGAGACACACCCCAAGTGCGCCTGTCTACTTGCTTCCTACCAGGAGGCCAAACCTCCCTGTATCAAGATCGCAGAATCTATAGTGTCAGTGATGTGAGCCTGCTCTACTGAAGATACACTGTGCGAGTCTAGGCCTCCTATGCTTCTGACTCACTGGCTGTATGGAGATCCCTATTTTTTCCTCCTCAAGTTTGGTAATTTGTTAGAATGACTCATAGAACTTGGGGAAACACTTTATATTATGTTTCCCAGTCATGATAAAAATATGTAAACAGATACAAATGAAAAGCCAAGTGAAATACACAGCGGGAGGTCCAGAATGGTGCCAAGAGCAGGAACTTCTGTCCTTGAGGAGCTGGATGCACCTCCTTCCTGGTACCTGGGTGTGTTCAATGATCTAGAAATTCATTAACTGTCATTCTTTAGGAGTTGCTATACAGCTTAACTTCCAACCCCATTCTACTTGGTTTTTCTGTTGACCAGCACAGTCTGAGGCTGTGTAGGTACCCACACTGTGTCCTCATGAACACAGACTCAGATATGATGGAAAGGGGCTTGTTATCACACAGGAAATTCCTATTACATAGGAAATTCCAAGGTTTTTAAGCACTTTGAACTGGGAACAAAAGCCAGCTGTACTTATAAGGATATAAGAATACTGACAGGCAAAAAATTAGCTGCTAAATATTCCTTTTTTACATCCTAAAAGAAATATCTAGTTACATCTATGTTATTAGAAATATCAAGTTGACAAATAATTATGCAACATCTCTCACACAACCTAACCTGAGTGATAAAAAGAATGGCTCTCCAGAAATGATTTATGCTGTAACAGCAGGGATACAATCTAGGATATGCAAGCCTTGACAACCTGCAGAGGAATGCAAGGCCTTTTAAAGGCAAAGCAAAGCAAGTTAGTTGCATTAGTTGCTTTGAAACAATTATTCCCCATTAAAGAATTACTAAAGGTGACTGGCATCTGTCCACTAGTGGAGTGAGTTGATGAAAAAGCATCTCGTCTGTAGAAATAGTATTTCTGCAAGGTACAAGCCTGAGGTTTTCAGAGTCCTGATATTAGTTCTTATCAGAGGCATATGTTGATTAGGAGTTTTCCCTCCTAGCTTCCTAGCTCCACTTTGTTAGGGTTTGACATCGGCGATTCCATTTTGGTATTAGCAACTTTTTGGAACTCGTTAAGAATTTGTAATAAAACTACTAAAACTTTACAAAGCTTTTTATGAAAGTCACATTTAATAACATAATTTTCACTTCTATTTATGAGACAACTATCATTTTCATTTTTCACCTGAGGAACCTATGGTACAGAGACATATAGCAATTTCTATTATAATGTATCAATTAAGCAAAATTACATGAAGCTGCCACTTTTTTAGGTCAAAGGAAATAATGGCAATTTTACCTAGTTCAACCTAAGAGTTAATGTGAACTCTGGATTTCAAACAGATGAAATTTTAATTATAAAATAAATTAATTTCTTAGGTGGCCATTTCTCAGGAAATCTTAATGTATGTAATTACAGGGAGATTTTTTCTTTTTTGGTGATACTGTGGGTTGAACCCAGACCTCTGCACGGAGCTATGTCCCCAGACCCTTTAAAATTTTTTAGGGCTAGGGATCTAGCTCAGTGACACAGTGCCTGCCTGGCAAGCATAAAGTCCTGAGTTCAATTTCCAATACCAAAATAAAATTTAATTAAATTTTAGAAAATAGTGTTTTCTTTCTTTTTTTCTTTTTTTTTTAAGAGAGTCCCACTGGGGGCCAGGAAGATGGCTCAGTAGAATAAGCGCTTGCCTGGCAAGCGCAAGGGCCTGAGTTCAATCCCCGGTTCTGCAAAAAAAAAA